CGTCGATCTGCCTGTTCTGCTCCCCACTTTGTCCCTGGTGAATCCTCTCACCCTCCACATCTCTGGCCTGTACCCCAGGTCTGTATGAATAAATACATCTTTAAAAAAAAATTAAATCCTTAAACATAGCTGAAAATGTAACCTTGGGGGAAATTTTCAAATTAATCCCTGCTAGCTATAGACTACGAATGTTTAATTCCTTACATTTTCACATTGTTTAGCAAAGTGCATATTTCCTATGTGCTGTATCTTTAACCCTTAAATTGCTAACTTTTAAAATAACTCACCTAGTACAAGGGTTAGGAGATACAGGTAGAAATACCTTCACACATGTAATGTGTGAAGTGCTATAACAGAATATGGAAAAGGGCCTGGGGGGTTACTTAACTATAGCTTCAGAAGGAGGTTGGTCATTTAGGCTCTTGGCTTCAAATTTTCATTATCTATTTTATATCCCATGGAGAACCCATATATTTTTTCTATTTTTCATTATAATGACTATTCAGTTGGACTAATACAGAAATATTTGTAATTAACATTTATGTGTTAGAACGGTCTTAATAGTTTATTAAGAACTGTCTTAAAAGTTTATAAAGGAGGAGCTACTAATATTCATGCTTTATGTTTGAGAAAATGAAGGCACAGTGTGATCAAGAAAATCAGTCTTTGTCTGACAGGTGGTAAATAACTTAAGACATATTATCAGATAAATAAATGAAACAACATAGATAATTTTGAAATATGAAAATGCTTGGGTGATAAAAAAATAAAAAAGTATGTTCAGCCTCCTTTTTGTTTGCAGGTTCTGGGAAATGATTTTCACATTCACAGGTCTCAAGCTTCAGGGTTCATTAGGTCGATTTGGTAAAACAGCCACTACTGACATAGAGGGTTACATGGAGCTCCCGGATGGAAAGGTACGTATGCCACTGTCCTACAACAGTAATGGTATGTTTTTAAAGGCCAAACCTATCTGAAAGTGCACTATACACTGTCTGTATTCACAGTAATATATCATTATAAATATGAAGGAATACTTTGACTCTTCATTATCAGTTGTAATATATTTCTGTGAAATTGTCACAATCTACAGGTATATACCATTTTCTGATTTGTTTTACTAAATATTACAGAGTAAGCAATCATTTTCATATTTTAACAGCGACACACATCATTTCTTAATGTTCAAAGATGATCTACCTGGTGAAAGGTTATAAAAACTCTTACACGTTTTTCTTTTTTTAAAGATTTATTTATTCATACAGAACTGGGGTACAGGCCAGAGATGCAGAGGGTGAGAGGATTCACCAGGTTCAGAATCGGGAGCTGAACAGGCAGATAGACGAAGTACACTGCTGAGGGGAGCAGCGGGCGGGTCAGGAGAGGTCTGCCGCGCCTTGTGGATCACCTTTGGGGCAGGTGGGGATCGAACTCATGAGGAAGTGGCTTAATCTTAGTGCAGTGCTTTAACCCGCTGCACCACCAGGAAGGGCCACCTTTTGCTTTTATTAAATATTATTTTTAAAAGACTGAGCCCCTTTACATTGGCAGTTACACCACTGTAACTTTAATATATTTGTTAACATGATTAGTTTACTTCCTCTTTTCCTCTATAATAAGATTTATAAGCATGTTCCTTATAGCGTCAATTTTCTATTAATGTGTATTTGGTTTCTTATTAGGATAAGCCATACAGTGTTATTTGTGATCATCCCAATTGATAAATAAATGTCAGTATAGCAAATATTCTAAGAAATCAAATGTCTAGTCATGTATCAACTGGGACAGTCACAGTTGGCAATGATGATACATAGAAGGAAATAAAATGCCTTGGATGCTGGCTAAACTATAGACTCAAACATACAAGATGATCATAAATCATTACAGCTTCAAGCTCTGAATAGTTTAAAAATTAAAGCTATAATTAAGATTAATATAACTCATTTAAAAACATAAGGCTTATCTTTACATTTTAGTAGATTTTATGTAAAATAGAAAAGAAATAAGTCATTTTAAATGAGACCCACCAAAAGAAATGTTTAGGGTTAGGAATAAATGTGACCTAAAAGAGAGAACTAATTAGAATAAAGCATCCATGCTGGGAAAAAGTAGGAAGTTAGACTGAGAAAACAAGGCTAAATTAATGTACTATAGGTGAGTTGAAAGTTTACTCACAGTTATGGTAGGTAGATAAGCATAGGTAGATTCAAGAGCAGAAAGTAAGGTGATTCCACATGAGTAAGGTGATTTCACATGAGAGGGAGATGGGGCACAATCATAGCGCCCACAGGGCCAGAGTTTCCCAAGGAGAATTTCATGGACTGTTGTTCTGCACAGAAGCTCTATGAAAGTCAGACTTTCATGGTCAGGTATCTATATCTGTGCATCTAGAAATTCCTCATGGTGATCCCCAGTGAAGTTTTGTATTAAAGCTTCCATTGGGTCCTGAAAACGGGGAACTGTTTGACTTTGGTTATGTTAGCTTTTAGTCTTCCGAGGCAGTGTTAGAACAGGCACTTTTGAGCCTGGGTTTTGAACTCTGAGTTCCCTTGATAATTTTGGGCAAGTTACTTAGCTGTTCTGTGCATCAGTTTGTTTTTTTTTTTCTTTGAAAGTTGGGAATAATCATAAGGCTTTCATTGATTCATGTGGTTCCTTTGTATAACTGAGGCAGACTGGGAAAATAAGTGCCCGAAGTGTGTAACTGTGGAGGGTACTTCAATAAATGTACCTGGTTCATATAGCCTTTTAGGATTCAGTAACGTTAAAGTGTCAAGAAGTGTTTGGCACAGAGTCAACATTCAAAACTTGTTGTCTTATGTCATACCTGTTAAGCATCCTAATACCTAAAGCTTTATGGTATGTACTTTGCAATGTGCAAATGATCAACATGAGGTGGTGCCAGAGAATGGTCTTGTTTTGAAGCGGGAGGCTGTAGACTAATGCTGTGGTCTGCTGAGTTCAGTTCTGACCTCCTAATGTAATTCATGTAACATTTGATATTATTGTACTTAAAAATCTTTCAAATAGCTCCTCCCTGCTACTTGAGGCATAAATACATGTATTTATTTTAATGTGTATTTCTTTCTGCATACCTGCCAGGTGCTCTCAGGGTCAGAATGGGGCAATATGCTGGTATGGGAAGCTGGCCTCATCAAAGTGGAGCTCTGTCGAGTTGCAAGGAAATCTTGTCACCATGGTCCCATCAACCAGATAATGCTAGATGAGGGTGAAGTTATCACTGTTGGGTCGGATGGATGGATTAGGGTAAGTTCTCTTAGGTAGTAGCATTCACATATAAGCTTTGCATTTCATCCAGTTGCAGTTTTTATTTTTCATGAACATTACTCACTCCCAGGGCCAATTCATTTTAAACATTTTTATCATTCCTCATTTTAGAACAAAAGCCCACAGGTCCCCTCTTGGCTGGTGTTCTAATCACACCTATTAATTTTCACAAAACAAGAAGAAATGATGTTTGAAAAAATTGCAGCCTTTCTGTCTTAGAAAACATATTCAGAAACTACTGATTGATTTAAGGTATTTTCTTAGATATGGGATTTTGAGACAATAGATACTGCTGACACTATAGATGATACTGGATTGCATGAGATTGAACCCATTAATGAACTTCAAGTAGACAAGAATGTTCAGCTCTTCTCTATGATAAAGATGAATGAAGCTGGAAATAACTTTTGGTTGGCTCAGGTAAGTTGTGGTGTTCTTTCTTTGTTCCTTAGCTACTTGGGTGTAAAATTAAAATAGTATTGTTAGCAGACAGGGTTGGGTTCTGTTTCCTGTCGTGGCAGAAAGCCCATAAGCAGAGACAAGAGTAGAATCTATAGGTACTTTAACTTTTCAGATTGCTAACCATTGAGCTGAGAGAATGGTGGGCATAGCATGCCCAGAGATCTTTCTGTCAATTTATCTCACACTGGCCTTTTCATAGTAAGTTATACAAAGGCAGTCAGAGCAAACAGCCCAACAGAATAGCCCACCACTGTTGATGTTACTGGAATTTGTCATGGTCAGCCCCTAGGACTTAACATCTTCTTGGTTATCATGAACCTGGTATATCTTGGTTATCATGACCCTGGTATATCCTAAGGCACCAGTGTCCAGAACTGCTTTGGGCATTGTAGGGGCAAGATTCTCAGTGTAAGCAAAGTTTTAGTATCAAGAAGACACATCATTAGTCATACAGTGCTTCTGTGCAGATACCTATGTGAGGTATGGCGCCCTTCCTTCAATCTCTAGTGACCTATCAGTGGTATAATTCGTAGTCACAGTAAGTCCATCATACTATTAAAAGTTCTATTGATCCTTCAGTGAAGAGTCTCTGAATTTTAGTATTTAACTGACCTATATTTTATACCCAGAAAATAATTAATGAACACTTCTATATATTCCTGACCAGAGGTATTTTGAGGTTGTTTCATTTGTTATTGTAGTTGTATTCTAAGATATTGGAGTTGCTGTGTTAACTTTCATTTGTACTTTAAAAAACCTTCAAGCTTTGGTAGTGTTGTCTGTCCTTACTTTAAATCATAGGAAGTCAATTCTTTTCATCTGAAATTCAAAATAAGGCAAAATGTTATTAGATATTTAATTTTTTAGGATGCCAATGGAGCCATGTGGAAGCTTGACCTTAGTTTTTCAAATATTGTAAGTTGCTTATTTTTCTTATTTCCCCCCTAATTTTCACAATAAGCATCTTCATTGTTCTTCTGGAAAAGAGATTTTTCTCTCAACTTTTTCACTTCCTATCAAAACTTGCTGTCCTGTCTGACTTCTGAGAATTCTAAAAGTTACGATTAAACATAAAAATGGTTTTTCTCATAGTAAAATATACCAGGAAAGTAGTTGTCGCCTAACATTACACAATGCTCTATAGTCTCCGTAAGCACGTGGCATTTTCATTCACATTGTATCATGTGATTCTACAGCTCCCCTGTTCACTAGCTATACAGTTACCCTCATCTCATTTTACTGGTGAAGAAATGGAACTTGGCATTTGAGGAGACTTGTATAAGATCAGTCCTCAAGTACAGCCAGCATTCGGTTTCTAGTTCCAAAGTCCAGTACATTTTAAAAAGTTATAATAGTTTACTTTTTACATCATTTTGTCTTTTTCCATCTCAGTTGTAATCCCAGTGGACTTCCCACCACTAATTCACCCATTTTTAAAGATTTATTTTATTTACTATGCATACAAGAGTGGGGGTACAGGTCAGATGTGTTGGGGGTGGTGGTGAGAGGACTCACCAGAGACAGAGTGGGGAGCAGAACAGGCAGATCGATGAAGTACACTGCTGAGGGGAGCAGCAAGTGAGACAGGAGAGGCCTACCATGCCATGTGGGTCACCTTCCTGGTGGGGAATTGAACTCATACAGTGGTTGCAGATTGCTTCACAGGGCTGAATCTTAACCCCTTTTACCACCACGAAGGCCCCCGCAGCACTTTTTCTAAACAATTATCCTTTTTCTTCTACTCAGAAAAAATCATACCTGTCTTATAGGATTCTACTTACATTTCTTTAAACTTGACCTTAATTTTATGTCTACCTGTATTTGCACTCTAAGACTCACTGTCCTTTCACCCTCAGACTCAAGATCCAGAGTGTCTCTTCTCCTTCCATTCTGGAGCCATAGAAGCCTTGGCTGTCTCTCCTCTCACTTACCTCATGGCCACCACCGCCTTGGACTGTGAGTGGGAACTCTTAGAAATAAAGCTGGCTTTTTGTTTGGTTTTCATTACAATGTAAAAATTGTGTTTGATTAAAAGCATTTGAGACTTTTCCCAAGAGTGATGCCTCTTGATCCAAGTGAAGTGAGTTTTTGCAGAGGGGAGGAACCCAATATACAGCAGCCATGGTTAGGGTGAGCGATTAAAATTTGGACACAAGTAGTAAGTTACTCATGAAAATACTCTTATTGATGTGACACACAATCCTACTTTTCCTTTTCTTTCTATCTTCTCGATTTCTGGCTAATTGTCGTGGACTGCGCAAGGTGAAATTGATCCATCAGCGAATCAACTGTTGCCTTATTTATATTTACAAATTACTTGATTGTGATGTACATGGATATTTTGGGTGAAAAGGCTTTTGGATTAGCTGTCATTTTAGTGATATAAAATTTCTTGTTTTGCTCAACATGTAAAGTTTGCAAAGCTTATTTCAAAAGATTATGTAATTTTTTAAATTGTTTTTCTCTAGGCTCTGTTCGAATCTATGATTTTGCTAGCAAAACTCCTTTAACACAGATGAAATTCAAACAAGGAGGTACTGCCCTTGCTTGGGTACCCCCAATGGTAAGTTTATTATTGAACTTTTACTGAACCTATTCATATATGATATATCAATGCTGTTTTTGAAGCATACATATTTTCTAACTCTTTTAAAGAGGAATAAATTAAGTTTATCCACTCAGACAGTGATAGAAATAATATTGTGACTCTTGGCCACTGCTAATTCATTTCTGAAAGTCTATTTTTTTGTAGATTATTAACCTACTACATGTAGGTTAATAAGTTTCATGGCATAATGTAATGTCCCAAAAGAACTTTATATCTTTTCTCTTTCTGATTTTGATTTTATTTATATTTGCAGCATATCTACAATGTGCTGGACCTTGTTCTACTTTCTGGGAATACAGTAATGAGTAAATAGACAAATACTTGCCCCCATGTACCATACACAGTAGGAGGCATAGATGGAATATGAGTAAAAGAAATATGTGATAGAAAATATGAGCTATGGGAAAAATTAGGTAGGTAGATGTTCTAGTTACCTATTATATAATAAACTTCCCCCCAAATTTAATGACCTGTATATCAATAATCAGTTTTATTTTGCTCATACTCAGTGCATCAGGTTATTGAACAGGTCACAGCAGAGGTAGATCACTTTTGCTTCACAGTGTCCGGAGTCTCAGCTGGGATGCTTAAATGGTTGGGGCTTGGAATCATCTAAAGTTTTCTTTAGATTGGCACTTGGTGGAGGGCTCAGCTAAGTTGGCATGTCACTCGGAGCCAGGAGCACTCACTCATAGCCTCTCCATGTGGCTAGAGCTTTACCAGAGCATGGCAACCTCAGGCTATCGCACTTGCCTTATATGCCAGAGGCCTCTGAGATCTAGTGTTGCAACAAGCAAGGCTGAAACTAACCTTTTCTGATCTAGCCTCAGAAGTCACATGTCATTTCTACCATATTCAGTGGGGGGAAGCAGCCATCTCCCTCACTCAGATTCAGGGGGAGGACTAAAACCCCATCTCTCCATGGGAGGCATGTCAAAGAATTGCAGCCATGTTTTTAACATGTCAGGGGGGTGCTTGGGGAATGTGTTTTCCTTATTGTTTAGAGAAGTCAAGTTAAGTGTTTTAGGCCCCAGACAGATGTGGAGATGATTGGAATAGTGGGAAATTCATGATGGGGTTAAGACTAGAAGGGCTCAGACCAAGAAAAAGAGCCAGAACAGTGATGAGCCTAAATAAGTAGAAAGCACAGTATTTGGATTACCAAACCTGGTTCTCTCCTAATCTATTTACACTGTTTTCTGCGGTCCTTAAATACAACCCATGCAGTTGAACCATTTGTACACAAACTTGTTTGTTGTTAGTCTTACATTTAAATAATTATAAGGATATTATGCTATACTTCAAGTGCTTCTTTACAACCCTGTCTTTCTGAAAACTCCATCAGTCTTTATAACCCATCTCAGGCCAAACACCATCTCTGCATCATGCTCCGCAAGCCTGGCTTTAATCAGAACTGGTACTTCTTCCTCTGATAGTTAAAGGATCTTATATATACCTCTTACAGCACTTACCACCATCTACTAAATTTTGCTTTGTTGTCTGTCTTTCCCACCCTACTGTTCTATATGGCAAAAACCAGCCCTATTCTTTGCACCTCTAGTGTCTCTGTAGTGGTATCCAGACACTTGGTAAATGCTTGAATAATTAATGTTTAACTTGTGTTGAATGGACTATACACTTTTCTTGTTTCCAGGATTCTCATAACCTGGCCTCAGGACTGATCCATCTCTTCCAACAACACTAGGATTCTTGTCTTTCTGAATGTGTATATGACAGCAATACATTTAGACACTGCTAGATTTATATCCTCCCAGAATTCTCCTCCAAGCTGAACATTATATGTCATCTCCATTTTGAGATCTTCAGGAGACCTGACATTCAACATGCCAAAGACTAAGTTTATGATCTTCTCAACTTCCAGCCGCCCCACCTTCCAGAACATCAGCCACAACAAGCCACACACTCACCTGGCTCCTTTCCAATGTTCCTTGTCTCAGTAGATGTCTGCCATCTTTGACACCTTCTTTTTCATCGCCCAGATTCAGTCATCACCAAATAGGGCTGTTACACCTCTTTAAAATATTCCTCGTCCCTTATCTCTACTACATCACCCCAGGTCACATGACCACATCCACTCTCCTGTGCCACAGCAGTCTTCTCTTAAGGTCATGCAAAAGGTCTCCCTGCATCCTATCCAGGAAATCTCAGTTCTGTTTCCAACCTGCAGCTAGGATGACTTTTCTGAAATGGAAAATATGTCTCCCCTCTCCTGCCCCTCCAAGTCCTAATTAAAATCTTTTTATTTCCCGTTGCTCTTGGGATAAAGATTATCCTGAGTAATGAGAGCCATGTGGGCATCTGGTGCCCAAATTATCCCCCTTCCTAGCCTCACTCAGTCTACTCAAACTACAACTTTTCCGGAGTTAGTTTTCCCTGCCTCCTGATCTTTGCACCACACATCTTCAGCCAGGAGTGCTTTTCCTACCTTCCCTTCCTGCATCTGCTTGATTCCTGTGTTTCCTTTTGCTTTCAGCTCCCCTGTATCTTCCTTAAGGAAGCCCAGTCCAGTCAGCTTTCTTGGTGTGATGTGCTCTCGCTGAATGTTTCTTATCACCTCTGCTTTAAGCTCATAATTCCACTCTCATTTGTGAGATGTCTGTCTTCTCCACCAGACCATAAATTCTGTGAAGCCAGCAACTGAAACCCTTTATGCTGATAATAGGTGTTTGAGTTATTTGAATGGTCCCTTTTGTCCCCCATCTGGCCAGCAATCAGGAGCTATCTTAAACTAGATGGAGGTTACTTGAAGGTGGTGTAAGAAGTTACTGGTAAGCAATCAACACTAACTATATTTTAGACTTAAGTAATTGATTTTAATCAATGTTCTTAACCAATTTCCACTCCTTTGATCTTCATTTTTGTCCAAGGTAAGCTTCAGTGGAGGACAAATCATTGTTGGATTTGAAGATGGGGTTGTTCGCATTCTTGAACTTTATGATCCAAAAGGACTCACACTTTTTGCAGGACGAAAGAAGATTTCAGATGCAGAAATTAGTTTGAAAAAAGTTTTCAAACCCCATACTGCTCATGTTACTTCTTTAGCTTATGAACGTGATGGAGAAATTCTAGCCACAGGTGTAAGTAGGTTTTCTCTTGTTTCCTATTGAACTTCTCTTGTTAACCTTACTTGCTGCCGTATTTGCTGGTATTTATTTGTGAAAAATATGTTCATAATTTTTTATTCATATTTTTTCAATGTAGTCTGTACATGACATTTAAAAATATTCTTACAAATTGATTTCTAATGCTTATTTGAAATGTATAGAAGATTTCAATTGGAAATCATGTTAGATATCTTATATATACATATGTTCTTTAATAGAATTGTCAAAAAAGAATAATGTAAATTCTTTGTGCATTAATAGGTGAGCATATGTTTTGTGGATTGTGTGTGTGTGTGTGTGTGTGTGTGTGTGTGTATGTGTGTATGAACTTTCTGTGCAGGTATACAGCTCTTTTCAGAACCATATACTACAATGGATATTTGTCAACTGTTCTCATGGGGAAAGTGAAGCAAATTTTTGGAAGAATTTTCCCAGGATAATATGCAACATTTGGAACTATAGATATAATATAGAGGAATTACTGTAATTATTAAATGCTTCTTTGACAAATAAGGAATAGATTTCATAATATACAGTTGGCAGTTGTTTCTCTTTTTCTTAGAGTAAAGATCAAACAGTATTCTTCTTTGAAGTGGAAAAGGATTATAGGCCAATCGGTTATATTACTACTCCTGGACCTGTTTGCCAGTTAATGTGGTCTCCCCTCTCTCATGTGAGTAAATATTTTAATTATCATTTGTCTTTGTGCTTAATCACAATTACCATGTAATGAGGTAGGCAGAGAATAGAATGTGGACTGATCAGCCCCACTCTCAGGTCCTGCAGGGGCCGGTGCTCAGCATGGCTGGTCAGTTACACTCAGGATGCTCACATTCTCCTACCTCCTCTCAAATTAATCGGCTATAGTCTCCTTTGAAAACACCCGGTTTGCATCAACAATGGTGACTTTAGTCAGATAACACATGTCAGAATGTGTTGACTTGGGTCTGTCACTTCTGACATTCAGAGGTTCAGTTCTAGGGTCTGAGGTCTCCAGGCTGTGACATTCTACCTCCATTTTCTTTGATTATTCCATTGCCTCTTTCCCAACAACACTTAGTGGTTCAGTATTGGCTACTCATGTCCTATAATGTCTCTGATATCTCCTAAGTTTGAACATAAGGTCCTTAGGTCAGTTGAATGTTAAACCAGGTGATGGACTAAGTTCCAGGATGATACGAGGGCTGCACAGCACTGCTGTCAGAATCACTGGTGGTAACATTCAAAATCTCCTATAAGCTCCTCTAAAGAAAAGGACTATACACCTGTAGAATTAGCAAGTATTTATGATTTTCATCTTTGCCAGACACCAGTAATAAAGACAGTAAATGATATGAAAGTCTCTTCTGAAGGAGAAAAATACACATTTGAGAAGTTAAATAACAATGCAGAAGGGCACAGGGCTTCACAAGGCAATTGGTGACTAACGTATCTTAGTGTAGGCAATATGTGCTGTGAATACAGATCAGGGAAATAGCAAGAAAGGGAGAAGTTAGCATAAGTCTTTATTTTGTATTACTGTACCTTAATCTTGAGGAGCTGGTGGGATATGTGGGCAGAGCCAAGATGGGCACAAGCTGTTTAGGCAAAGAGAATGAGCTACAAAGAAAGCCCTGTGCTAGAGAGTGAATGTCTGGAGAAAAATAATAACATTACATGAATCCTGCAACTATTTTCCTAGTCACAGGCTTAGAAAAGAAACCAGTATTTTTCTAGCATTGAGGAATGGTGGGTGGGAAGGGGCATCTCAAGGAAGGTTTTTGTGGTGATGGGATAATTCTATATCTTGACTGCTATAGTAGTTAAGCAAATCTACACATGCAATAAGAAAACAGAGCTACACACACTTGTCTTTTAATGTCAGTTTCCCTGGTTTGATATCGTTCTCTAAGAGATAACCTTCGAGAAACTGGATGAAGGGTACATCTCATCTTTCTGCTATATCTTTTACAACTTCCTGTGATTCAATTATTTCAAAAGAAGTTGTCTAAAAAAGGTAGGCAAAAGACACCAAAAACCTTTGAATTAACTCAAAAGTCATTTCGTGTAGTGCTGCTGATTGGCACTTATTTCTAATATTTGTGAATTCTAGTGTCAAAGTAAATGATCTCCACTTCACGATATATATGTACTAGTCATCAGATTGTAAATCTTGAAGTTACAGTTTTAGATATCAGTTATACTTCAATTAAGATAGGGAAAAAGGGCACTCACTATGTAACTGACATGTGGCATTCTCCAGTTGTCCAAATGCAGCAGCTAGTCAATGGACTGATTTCCTCACTTCCTTTTTGAAATCCCATTTTCCTTTGACTTTTCGGACAGTATGCTCACTTCTATCTTGTCATTCCTTCTCAATCTCTTTCACCTAGCATTTAAGTATTTGGTTAACTGCTGTGTTCCAACCTCTATCCTCACTTTGTTCTCTTGACACAGGTGACACCATTCAAGCCTGCAACTTCCTCATAAGTTCAAATGTACCTAGAAATATCTAGAAAAATGTCATTTGCAATGACATTTCTTCTTAAAAAAAATACTCAAACCCTCTCCTAACTCATGATGTAATTGTCTCCTACTTATCCTTCACCTTGCAGCTTCACCTGCAACATTTTGGGAAGCTTTTGCTATACTTGTTGCAGTTTAACTCATTTTAAAATGGCTAATTTACTTGCCAATTATATTTTCTCTGGTTTATAACCTTTTGGGGTCATGCTCTGAAATATTTGCCTACATGTAAGTGACCTTTAATGTTTCCCTTTCAGCCTGAAAGCACTTTACTGATTATATGTGAGAATGGGCATGTTCTTGAAGCTCCATATCCAACCATAAAGGAGGATGGGGAAGATCGTGATGTGATCTCCTATGAAATCAAAGACATGTCCATAAAATATTTCCATTTCTCAAGTGTCAAATCTAAGATCCTGGTATGAGATATCCAACATAATCTTCTAATTTTTTTCTTCAAATATAAAGCATTCTGTCCTAAATATAGGGGAAATACATAGACCCTGACTTTAAGGAAGTTTTAATCTAGTAGAAAGTAGCTAAGTATATTCGAAGGCGACAAATACTGGCAGCAGAACTTCCTGAGTGAAGTGAGATCTGCAAATAGTTTTTGGTGTTTCAGAACTGGTGAACCAGAGGAATGCAAATTGTGGAGGGGACATACTTAGAAGAGTAGGACTAGCCAAGATGTTTCAATTTAATTCCTAAAATATTTGCAACCATAGTGAGTTTTTAAGGAGAGGAGTGATATAATGAGATCATACAAATTGGGGAGATAATTCTGGTGTGTAAACAATACGAGTGAGGTAATAGATGGGCGGTAGGAATCCCGTGTTGGGGCGCTTGCAGTAGTCAGGTTGATAGAGGTGAGTATTGCCAAAGGTAGAAACATAGAAACCACTTTCCTCAGGGACTATCTCAGTCACAGGCTGAATGCAATAGGCTCAGAGAAATTTTCTCTAGTAGAGAGAAAAAAAGAAACAAAATATTTTTTTTTTAATCAAGGCTGATGGGAATAATGCAGAAATGAAGTCATTCCACTGATTGGAAAAGCTTGATGATAAAAATATATCCCTCAGCTATATGACATTAGAACTATGAGTTTTTCTAGGTTTCCATCTTTTTTCTACTTTCTTAATCATCCCCAAGTGTATGAATGAAGGAATCACAGTATATAACTTTATAGCTTTCAAAATCTTTTAATCTCTTCTTGCAAAAGAGATATATAGAAATTGAGAAGAGAAAGAAACTAAAGGTGTTGAAAGAAAAGGCAAGAGAAGAAAGAAGAAAACTAGCAGCCGAGACTGGAGAAGATGAAGAGGAGGAGGAGGAGGAAGAGGAAGAGGAACCATTGCCTGAGATCTTTGTTCCATCAACCCCTTGTCACATCCTTTGTGGATTCTATTCTGAACCAGGGCAGTTCTGGGTTTCTCTGGTAAGTAATAATGCAATATTTTTTATTTCAGCACTCATCCAATATATTTACAGTCATTTTCTTAGCACCATCTTTTCTTATCATTATGGTAAGACTTCATTTATTAGCTGCTATGGAAGGATGAATGCATGTGAGTTGAGTGACAGTTGGTTTTGTATCATTTAAGCAGCTTTTATAAGATAAACTCCAGCCATTTGCAACAACATGAATGGAGCTGGGAGGGATTATGCTAGTGAAATAAGTCAGGAGAAAAGTCATCAGATGGTTTCACTTACATGTGAAATATAGGGAACCCAAACAAAGTTTCAGGAAAAAAAAAAAGACAAAACTTGTAAGCTGATCATAGACCTGAGGTTTATAGCAGGAGAAGGCGAGAGGAAGGAATCAAAATAGGGGAGGAAATAGAACAATAAACTGTGGTGATGGATCATAGATGCTGTGGTAGTGACCACTCCGGAGGACATCAAATACTCTCCAAAAATTAAAGATGTTTAAGAAAAGAAATAAAACATTAATGCCATTACAAAATAGCTTTTAGATGTCTGTCTAAATAACATTTATATGTATATTTGTCCGCTATCCATCATGATCTTACATGTTCTGGGAGTTAAAGGGGAGAAGAATTAAAGGTAGAAAGGCAAGTGGAATTTTCAGCTGATCTCTTGTTTCTAAATTTCAAAACTCACAAGTGTGACCTTTGAGTAATAAGTGTGAGCACTTATAACAAGTGTGATAACAAGTGTGAGCACTTGTTATCCACAACTCTGCCATGTGACAGAAGTCTAAAAAGATCATCATTTTATTACTTGTGTATCATAACATCTGACCATGGGATAACAGCCCAGGTCTACAAAGAACTCATGCAGCTCAATAGAAAGGAAACAACTCAGCAAAAAGTGGTTAGAAGAGGTAAATAGTCACTTCACCAAAGAGGATAATCAGTTGGCCAACAGGCATATATGAGGGTGTTAAACACCACTTACCATGGGGAATGCAAGTCAAAACCACAGTGAGAAATGATCTCAGACTTGAGAGTTGCTCATGTCAAAAGCACCAGAGCCAAATGGTGGTGTAGATGGGAAACAAAGGAACGCTTGTAGACTAATGGGAGTTTGGGCATATTCAAGATAATCTACCACATGATCCTGCAAAAAAAACACTAAGTTGAACATAGAGGGAGGGGACCCAGCGGTTTCTGGTGGAGGATTATAGGTGCTTTGGTGGTGGGTGTGATGTGGTCACATACTAAAGAGATGTAAACCTGTTCCCTCAAATCACATATAGTGAAGTAAACCAATCTTACCTCAAAAAAGGGAGACAAGCCCCCCAAAATACTGCCACCTTGAACAAAGTGGGTACTTTTCTAATCAGGAAAAAGAGAAAAATGAATAACTGGAGAGAAATACTAGAGACTGTCACAATGATGTGACAATTACATACTCCAATTTTATATTTTGTATTTTTATTATAAAATATTTTGTCTCTGGCAAAGTAAGATTTCCTTCATTATAAATTTGTTGCAAATGTCAGCTTCTTTCACCAAAAATATCTGATGTGGAAATACGTATGAATAACTTCATTACCTCATAACTCACCCCAGGTCTTTGGTTAGGACATGCGATAGCCTAAGACTAGCCTAGCTATAATAAATGATAACATTTCACTGAAACACTCTTCAAAATTTTCTATTAATATTTCTTTGATAACATCTGCTAAGGAGAGGAGCAGCAGGAAAGATGGAAAGTAGTAATGGAAGCAACGTACACTGCATTTGTTCATGCCTGTACACTTTGTTTTTGTGTTTTCCAAAAGCAAGCCAAGACCCAGCTCCTCCTTTTTTGAAGTTCGGTTGTACTATTCAGAATAATACTTAACGTGGATTCAAGTGGGTAGTCACAGATAATTTCCTCTTAATGACTTGTAAGTGGGGACAAGTCATTGTAAGGTTTTATTATGTAATTGTATAGTTACATATCAATGGAAATGCTCTCTGTAATCATAGAAATCATGACTATTTAAACCATTTTTTAAAAATGGGAAATAATAATAAATTTGTTGCAAATGTCAGTTTCTTTCACCAAAAATAATTGATGTGGAAATATATGTGAATAACTTCACTAACTTGTAACTCATCCCAGGTCTTTGGTCAGGACACACCATTGCCTAAGACTGTAGCCGCAAGGAATGATGGTCATATGTGTCTTATATTAAAGTACCACCTTCTGTATTGTTTCTTTCCAGGGTGGCTATGATGCTGGATTTCTGTACCACTGTGCCTTCCTCCCACGTAACACAGACATTGACATCAAAGAACAGAAAGATGAGGCTATTGATTTCCGTTTTCTTGAGAACACAGAGGATAACCCTATCCAAACTATCACTTTCAGGTAAATAGAATTTCCAGAAACCTTAAAAAAATTATATCCCATGGTCTGGTTTTTGTCCACTGTGACTATTGTCACTTTTGTCTAAGTGGAGAGTATTCAAACAGTTAATCAAACGTATAAATGTAATCACAGCAAAACTTGAAAATGTATTTCACTCCCTTCTCAACTATTTCTGTATGGAATTGTGTGAACTTATTTTGTTGGCTGGGGGTGCTACCGCGTGTTCTGACAATGAGAGTTTAGAGTTGCAATAGCTGAAGAAAACTCAAATGGAATCATTAGTTCTTTAATATTTTTTTTTAAATAACTGAGAAGTGAATGTCAGTCGTTCTTTTGAAGATGGGCTATAGCAGCTCAAATTCTGACTTGATTTCTTTCCCGTCTAGCCCCTTTTTCATTTTCTAGGGCTGCCTGGCTTGCTAGGGCCTCGACATGTGAATGGGGTTGAGGGCTAGGGGCCCAGTCTTCTTCATCAAAGCTATGTTATTAAAATTTAGACATTTGCCTATTTAAAATTGAATGAATTCTCATAAATATGAAGAAAAATTTTCGATTTTTTTTTTTCCTAGTTTTGAACGGATGATGATGTTTTGTGGACTGCGAAATGGAGCAATTCGCATCTATATCTTGAAAGACCGTGACCCATCACTGGCCTCTTTGCAAGATTACTGGCACTTCAGTATTCATGACAATGACTACGGCTGTATCACAGCCATCTCTACTAGCTTTGATGACCGCTTCTTGGTGACGGCTGGAGCAGATAGTAACATCTTTGTTTTCAACATTTTTTCTGAAATTGAATTAAGGGAACTCCTCAAAGCCAGAGTTCCTGCTCCTAGGGTATGTAACAACGAGAGTTTTACTTTAAAATAATCATGTCGAAATTGCTTATATATTTTTTAAAAATAGGAAACTATTTAAAAGATACTTTTACCTTATAGTCTTATCTTTTCTACCAGTATTATTTTGACTTTCTGGGGCCTCTATTATCAAAGCTATGGTACTGAATTCCCATTATTATTAATGGCATAGAATTCCCCAAATTAAAGACTCTGTCAAATTTTCTGTATAGCTTTCTTAATCAGTTTGTCTTTATAATGCACACACTTTTGCCAGATATAGATTTTGCTTTTCATTTATCCATTTATATATGTATAAAATCGTAATGTATGCTTTTGAAAGGAATTGTAAAAAGAGTATTAGTATATGGGAAGTGTGGTTAGTTATTCAAATATTTAGTAATTCTCTTCATAGGCAGATAATTGGTTTTATAATGAAAGACTCAGGGTTCAGGTTTCCAAATTATCTTCTTCTGCCTATCACAGGAATTTTCTCTATCATTGTGATAGGTAAATAAAATAAAATTAAAATATCACTGAATTTTCTCCTATCAAAGTGGGCCTTTTGGACACGATCACTAATAACCATTATAGTTGTATACCTAGAGAATAAGAAACTGTTTCAGAAAGATCATAATTAACATTCCTGTGAAGACCCTGTCTTCCCATTTAACATCTAAACAACTTCAAGATAACATACAGAGGAGGCAGGGATGACAGGAACAGGAAAATTTTCATCTCCTTTAACAACAGCAAAATTTGGAGAATCAGTTTCTCCAAATTTGCTGTCTGGAGAGGCCTAGGAAGGGTATTACAGAAGGAAAAGTGTATGTAAAAAAAAAAAAAAGAAATATTTATCTTCTACCTGGGCCAATTCAATCCGTGGAAACCTACACTGGATACAAAAATTTCATTCCACTTACATATAAAAGTATAATGGTACTTTCTATAAATATTCCACTTTTATCACTTCAGTATTTCTGAAGTCAGAGGGGGCAGATTCAACTGTTAAGAAGGAAACACAGAAAAAATTTAAAAGGTAAAACAAACTAAGCTCTGCATAGGTGGGAGGTTTTAACCTTACTCTGCTTCAGAATCAGTGTCCGGCCATTGCAGGTCCAGATGCCTGAAGTCTACCTGAGAGCAATTAAATTAGGCTCTCTGAAGGCTAGGCCCCCTAGCCCCAGGATTCTATAAACTATCTCCCCTCAGCCCCTATGCCTTTTTTTTTTTTAAGATTTATTTATGCATACAGAACAGGGATACAGCCAGAGGTGCAGGGGCAGTGAGAGGCTTCACCAGAGATAGAGTGGGGAGCAGAACAGGCATAGACGAAGTACACTGCTGAGGGGAGAAGCGGGCGGTCAGGAGAGGTCTGCCAAGCCATGTGGATCAACCCGGGGTGAACAGGGATTGAACTCATTTGCTGAAGTGGCTTTAGCTTCTTAGTGCTGCACCACCAGGGAGAGCCCAGCCCCTATGCTTTTAATGTGCTGTCAGGATTGAGAGCAATTGGCATTCATTTTGAAACTGTTGAAAGCACCTTTGTTTAACTAGAACTAAAGGTAAATACTGAGGGCAGGAGATACTTGTTTGAGGAGTATATAAAATTCTGGAAGTCTTTGATATTGGAGAACCGACTGACTTAACCCTGGACAATCAATAAAACTCAAAGTCATATCCTAAATGGTGAAAAGTGACTAACATGATATCTGCCTTTTAATTTGGTCTTGCTTTATGGCTTGACTTTTACTCAAGTCATAAACCTTATCTTCCTTAAAAATATGTAGGGCCCTCCACCGGGCCCTCCCTGGTGGCGCAGCAGGTTAAAGCACAGCACTGAGAAGCTTAAGCTACTTCCGCATGAGTTGGATTCCCGCCTGCCCTGGAGGAGATCCACATGGTGTGGCAGACCTCTCCTGACCGCCCGCTGCTCCCCTCAGCAGTGTACTTC